TTCTTCAACAGTAATTTGAATTTATACTTTAATTACCAATTAATTACATTTTTGGAGTGGTCTTTGTGGAGCAGAGATTCAGAGGCAGAAATAATTTCCACTTGCAGGTTTAATGATAATATTGATATTTTTATATTTTGTGCCAAAATGTAGTATAAAATTTTACATGATCTTTAGTGAAATTGTTTAGGGAACTTGGCATCGGAATAGTGGTTTACAGTCCTCTTGGACAGGGATTATTCTCTTCTGGTGCAAAGCTGGTTGAAACTTTGCCTGAAGGAGACTTCCGAAAGGTTTGTATATACTTAACATTTTGAGTTCCGTTATCCTGCATATTATTAATAACCCTTTCAAAATTTGTAATATTTAACTAAAACATTTGGAATTACAAAGATCAGGTTAATGTCTCCTCCAATTTTATTTTATATGATATGGCAAACAGAAAGGGATGCACCCCATCACAACTAGCTTTGGCCTGGGTTCATCATCAAGGAAGTGACGTGTGTCCCATACCTGGTACCACGAAAATTGAGAATCTCAATGAAAACATCCAATCATTGTATGTAAAACTGACAAAAGAAGACATGGCTGAGCTCGAATCTATTGCTTCAGCTGATGCAGTGAAGGGTGACAGATATGGATCTGAAATTCCTACATGGAAAAATGCTGACACTCCTCCTTTGTCGACTTGGACAGCAGCTGCATAAAGAAAAATAGCCTTTTCTGTATGCTAATATTACCATTAAGCTGAAAAAAATTCTCAGAGCTTTCTTCGGAAAGCAAGATATTATTGTCCAATAAATTCCTATGTCTGATTCTTCAACAGTAATTTGAATTTATACTTTAATTACCTTTTAATTACATTTTTGGAGTGGTCTTTGTGGAGCAGAGATTCAGAGGCAGAAATAATTCCCACTTGCAGGTTTAATGATAATATGGATATTTTTATATTTTGAGCCAAAATGCAGTATAAAATTTTACATGATCTTTAGTGAAATTGTTTAGGGAACTTGGCATCGGAATAGTGGTTTACAGACCTCTTGGACAGGGATTCTTCTCTTCTGGTGCAAAGCTGGTTGAAACTTTGCTTGAAGGAGACTTCCGAAAGGTTTGTGTATACTTAACATTTTGAGTTCCGTT